GGGGGGGGGGGGGGGGGGGCGTCCGAGCTTCAAGTCGTTTTGGCCTTAATGCATTTTTCATTCTATTGTAATCCAATTTTTTCTAATTCTTCGCATAAATAACTGCAGCGCTTCGATCTAGTGTAGATATTGTATTGACAGTCATGACTTACCCTGCGGTAGATGCATTATTCCCACCGTCAACCCAGACACTAGGTCACCAATGAACCACTGGGGGAATTTATATTGCCTCATTATGGACACGAAGGGAAACAGGCGCAGCAAAAATCCCTGGACGCATCCTGACCCACACGTGCAGTGTTTCCGACATTGTTGGTGAATGCGACTGGCTGTTGTAACACTTTGTTTTGAATATCCATGTTGTTTATCAAAGTCGTGCTGTAAGTACACAGGCCTGACTGGGGTAAATGTCGTACTGTCGTCTGCTTCAGTGATGCCTGGTGTCGTCTGCTGAGGAAAACTTTGTATTGCCTGCCTTGACGATGCTTCACCGCCTTCTGTCGGAGGAGGTGGGTGTTTTTCTTTGCTACTGCTGTCCATCTTTTGTTATATAAGCCAGCAAAGATGTGCTTCGAAAAGAGAATCGGACTTTTTATCGTACCATGCCCACAGAATTGCCTATTAAAGGTAAAATGCGATTTTTTTTCTTTGTAAGATCAATAAACTTGTACGCATCAATTTTGGAGCACGAATCCATATTTTACCTTAAACCATGTTTTTTGTTCATTCATCATACGTACAAGTCTTTTACACTCTTGCTTAAAAGTGTGGGACATTTTGAAAACTATATAGGGAAACATTCATTTTAATATACTCTTCTGTGCCAGTTTTAACAAAATTATTTATCTCGACTTTAGCAACGGATATTATACAATTTTTTTATAAGGGAGGAGGAACCCTTTACTAGAGCAGTGCATAAAAGGCGGTTGTACTGTATGCACGTCTGCATTACGTGTGGCAAATCAGAGCAGAATGTGAATCAAATGTATGTTAATGTGTCTGTCGTTAATCAAGGCGTTGTACTTGTAAATTCTTAATAGGAAATTTGAATGGTGATTATGTTCCCTTTTATATCTAATTGATAACCCTGTGGGTTGAATAATGTATTTTCCATGCTTGGCGCAATTTCAACCACAACATATAATTTTAATATTGTTTTGGACCATTTCATATTTTAGAAACAGTGTTTATAATCAAAACGGGAATAACTAAAAAAATAAAAAAATAAAATAAAAATAAAAAAACATACATCAATTAACGACCTTTTAAACAAAATTGAATAATATGATTAATAAGCCATGTTTTCCACAATGATAAATATATAACTTCGCGTGGAATCAGTTTCAAGATTTTTCTTTAAAATGCACGATACGTGACATATCATGATAGCTTATTTGATAATAGTTATTTGTCGAATACCCCAAAATATACATGGTTGACAAAAAGAAAGAAATTCCACTTTTTTCATTAGAGAAGGTGAATGCCCTCCTCCAATACATCTATTTTGTTCATTAGCTTAATCATATGTTTGTTTGTTTATTTAAGTGACCTGTGCTATAATGCAAGTAATACAGATACATTTCATTTCTTTTTGCACCAAGCCCCAGTGGGCTTATAAGTCACTGTTTCATTTATATTATTCTAATATATTAATAAACAAGAAAATACATAGAAACAATAATCATATACCAGACAGTAGAGCAATTTACGTTTTTATACTAAAATCTTATATATATGGACAAGATGCACATATATAACCAACGCTCAAGGCTCTCAAGACTTTCCGCACGTTCTTTGTGACGGTCGAGGAAATCTGTTCTATTCCCGTCTTAAATGTATGTTGACCCTGAACCTGACGTTAGATGTCATTTGCATTTTGTTACAACTTGTGTGGTTAAGATGCTTTTAATGAGACATATTACAGCATTGAAGTGCAGGGTAGATCTCGGCATTGGTATTATGCTGGAAGACAGTCTTCACTAGTTTATATATTAAAAACACATCCGTAGGCCTTACAGATAGATTACATAGCAACAGAAAATGTGCGAGAACATCAAAAAACACCGCTGGTAATAACCTCCATGTAGATTGTCTCTCTCACATTACTAAGCACGTTTCTCCTTATCCTTTCATCTTTTCCAACTCACGTACTTGATGCTGAGGAGCAACTGCACAGATACGCCCAAAGTAACTATTTTGAGTCAAATAAATTGCTTTAACCCTTTTAATCTACAGGTACGACCTCGATTACAAATTAAATGCGTGGAATATACACTACGACCTAAATGTAGCTCAAATTTAATTTTTACTAGAAATTGCAGCATTAATGCTTAATCACCAAGGTGAATTATACCCAAAACCACTGACAAAATTATGATCTATAAACTAGTTTTTGACTTATACTGTATGTTTCCGATTTACTAATCTCTCTCCTACGTAAAGAAGTTGGTGGCAAAAATATACAATGTGACCTTGAAAACGGATTTGCAAATGATAATTGTTGCAATGGTTCTGGATTGGCATGATAAACAGAAAATTGCTGAAATGTCCAGAAAAATATTTTTGGGGCTTATCGAACTCTCGCAAATTGTATTTGCCTTAAAATGGTTACAAGTGCTATTTTTAAAATGATAAGTGCGTAAGTAAAACATTCGTTAAAATGACTCCGTAAAGCGTGCACTCCAACAGCAACTTCAATTAGTTTAAACGATCTCTTTTTAATCTTCCTTTGAACCATTAAGCTGTTAAAAACCATTAAAAATAATGCTTTACATAGGCGTACATTTAACTCTGCAATGTCAACTGCCTTCATTCACTTAGGCGGTAAGTATACATACTAAATAACTATGACGAAATGTCAAGGTTTTCCGCAAATTACGCAATTGTGAACTATAAATCTACTTCCCCTGACGAGTAAGATTTAACTGACAGAAAATCATTTTTTTCTCTGATAAAATGACTCGAACAAGCATAGAGTAGAGCAAGACGTAAATGAATTGCGGGCGGGTAAGCAATTACCGAAGACAGCCGAGTGTGAAACTAATAACATGAAATGGATAAAAACGGTGTCTTTTTCGTCGAGTAATTTATCCATTTTAAAGGTTTTAATATTTAAAGTACTATTTCAAACACCATTTAGATATCGTTAAGTTAACAGTTTGACACATTTCCTTTGGTAATATGCCACTTATCACATCATATTATCACTTTAATGAGCGTGACATTAAGCAGGTATGCTTAAGAGCACACTAAAACATTCATTCTCAATACATAGGTCCATTTAACATACTTTTATTTTATTAAAAATTAGCAAGCGGAATAATTGTGTCTCCAAGTGGAACTATACTAACATCAGTCAAGCAACAAAAACAATAATTACTAGATTTATCTGTTCTTACAAAAAAACATAAACGGACTATCTCACTTCCTCCACTATCTCACTTCCTCCAAGTTAACTTTATTTTTTCTAAAGTAGAAAATGTGCAATTTGTCAGGTGGCAATAATGGTGTCTTACATCTCAGAAAATGTCTACAATATTTCTACTCACTCAATAAATACTACTTTCTAGGTGTCGCCGTTTTTTTTTTTTTAATTGAAATAACCTTCGTTACGTCTTTTGTCGAAGATAATCATTTTTAGTTGTTGGATGTTTTTATAATATTCAAGCCATAATAAAATCTTCAATTCAATAACATCCATTATAAGCTAGACGATATGGTATCAGGCCACAGTTAAATGTTTTACAGGAAACACGGCTTAACTGCATTCTCCTAAAAAGTACTAGTAATGCAAAAGCATTCGTTATCAGGCATGTGAAAAAATATACTTGAGGCCGAGGACAAAACGTTTCAGTAAAATATACGTGCATCTCGTAATACCGCTTTAGCGCAGTCTAATTTTGCTAGTACTGATCAAGTGCAAGTATTATCCAACAAGGTTGTTATTTCTTAACTTTCGTTATTAAAACCGTTATTAGAATTAGCGATTATATCTTTAACTTCATTTTTCACGTTTTTATTTTCTTCAAGTGGGCCTATTTTATTGAAAATGAGTATTTGCGAATTAAATTTTTTTCGAGAAATTTCTTCCGTTTTCGTTTCTTAAGCTTATCACTAAGGTAAACTTTATGATTAATACGCCCAAACCAAGATTCATAAACTTGTTGTAGACTTTACGCTTTATCATATTTACCGACATACCAATATTAAAAAACATACGCTCAAAGACTGTTCTGAACTTCTAAGTTTAAATTTAGTCTACTTTGACCAAATATAAATCAGTTATAGTGCAATAAAATAACAAATCTTCCCGGATTCTAAAACAAACTGTGGTTAATGTTATAGGGCAGTACCCTATTAGAGTGAAAAACCATGGTTTGACTTTAACTGACGTTGATCAAATTACTAGTAACTTCAGTTTAGACCAATTTTTGGCCTCAGTTCTTTAGTGAAACTGGTGTGAATTGATAAAAAATCTCCAGCAATTTCTTGTCTCTCGGACCTAGATTATAGCAGACATATAATGCCAACACAAAACCCAAATTACTGCATTGATGAAAGTATCTACATTGTCACGCCTTACCTTCACTGCAGTCTCGCACTGAAAAGCGGAATGGTCACTAAAGCAAGTGAGACTGCATGTCCTGCTTACGCGCAGCGAAGCACGTGCTATATTGGACCCTATCCACGATTAGCAAACAAATGAATGTGTACCTATTTCTATTAGCATTATAGTCTCGTGTTAGAGAATTATTCTTCGCCATTACGATCTTACAGTGACGATGCATTTGGTGATTATTAGTTCAACTGTAAAAAATGTCGATTAAGTGGGTAAGGGTTGAAAAGACAAGGGCCCCGTATCTCGAAAGCATCGCGTATTGCGAATAACGATGTCACATAGAGGCTACAATGTATTATATGGGGCGAGCATGGGCGAGTTATGGAATGGAGACGCTTGCGCACGGTCGCAATGCGCGATGCTTTCGAGATACGGAGCCCAGGTTAAGAAAGTTGTGGGCATTCTAGAATTATGCTCAGGAAGGTGATCATAATATTGATCAATGCTATGAACAACCGACCATTGAATAAAGCACACATGTACTTTCGATTGCTTTACTCGAAAGAAAGGCAGTCCCCAGGCAACGGCTGTGGTCCGATTGGGGGAAGGGGGGGGGGGCATGTGCAACGCAAAATTTCGACACCAGAACTTGGTATTTTTGACATCAAAGTACAATTCTACTGAAAAGCCTTCCTTCGTTTTAAAGTACATACCTGTGAAAAAATATTTTCTGATTTGCCCTTATGGAACACTAACATTTTGAACTTAGAAAGTAGTGTTATATAGAGCTGCCATTGTTCCCATAGGCTCACAGAAATCACGTGATACCCTTGTACCTGACGATTAGTTATGGCGATAATTTGACACTATTCACGAAGTCTACGCTCCTAAGTAGCGCCCTTAAACATCGATGCCCGTGCCCAGAAATAAATTAATAAATAAATAAAGTTTAAAGTGCCTTAAAATCCTGCAGCAATAAAAGTTTCAATTCTTTGCCCTTTATATAATCCATATTAAACGCCAATAAAAGAGTATGTTCTGAGTACATTCTAACAGCAAATGGCACTTTATTTCAGAAATAATATGTAAAAAGTGTCCAATTCAAGCTTGCAATGACATTCTTAACTGCTAATCTTTTTCAACGAAAAAATATGTTCAAAATCATATCATTTTTAGACTGCAAAAATAAACAGTTTTCCGACTATGGTTTCAAAGTGGAGGATCAGAGAGGCGTTACTGCCTCCGGGTATTGTACCACCAGCTGGAGTAAGCGCACTCGTATGGTAAACCAAAAAAGGGACACCACCACCAATGCTGTGCTTGACAAGCTCTACAAATTGCAATAAACAGATTTCTCTTTTTTTTTTGTAGAAAATTGCAATTTATAACAAAATCGTGGGGGGAGGTGAAAGGGGAAATCCAAGGTTGCAGTAAGAGTGGTGAATATAAGACTTCCCATCCAAGTTCAAAAGTAAATATAACTGCGGTTTATGGTGAAAAGTAAGTAGGTCAAATTCAAGGTCGCAGTAAGATTCTAATATATGACAAAAAAAAAAGGGATTAAAAAACCAATGAAACAATTCATCAAACTAAAATCAATCAATCAAAGTATTACATTAGTCTCACAAAACGTCACCATTAGTCTTTTTATTTAGGCTTGCCATAATGGATTTGTGGCAAAAATAACATCTCCAATACCAGTATTTCATTCTGAGATTATGACTTTGCTCTAGTATTAACGTAATAACTATGCCTTGAACTTAATTAGATATTCGGGATAGGCTTGCGCGTCATAAAATATCACAAAAATGGTCGGTGTTTTTGTATTGTCTACCACAGAGTTGTATGTCTCCAGTGGTTTATCAGGATCTTTAGGGGGAGGAGTCAGCATCTTGCGGTGTCCCTTTGTGTAGGATCCAACAAGTACCTTGGCCAGGAACATAAACTGCTCCCCGGCTGCATTAGGCTTGCAGTACGAGGGCTGGGCAGAATAGGTGGCTTTTTTGGCAAAGTATACCCCTTTTCCAAAGATGGCGCCTGTATACATGAAACAAGAGCGTTACTGTTCAAAATATTCTGAAGCACTTTTCAGCAAAAATGTGTATTATAATTTCATGAGATAAACGAGAACACCAACAGATTTTATCCCTAATAAAAAGTGCTCTTTGGTAAGATCACTATGATGTAGACGGATTTCCCTTTTAAGTTCAGAACATATAATTTTAACCTATCATTCACTAAACAAGCACTGGATTTAATAAACTGAACAATGGACTTAATGAATTCACTTACCAACGTTTAATCCACCAAAGCTTCTGTTAAACCCTTGGTGGCTTATGTAATCGCAATTAGCTTCTGACGTTCCATGAAAAAGTGACATCTCATTGTTCCTACAGAACGCAAACATTATGTTTATTGCACTGCTCACTGAGCAACAGTGACATTCTATAAGGTTATACACCACAGTCCAACGAAAAAAGCTGCAGATATGAAGAACTGTGATAAAGATCATTCGCCCTTTTTAATTAATTGATGCAAAGTTGATTTATTTTCAATGTGAATATGTGTTCGAATAAATCTAAAAAAAAAATCTATATTATATATATAAGATTATAAGCAGCATAAAGTTCTCAAGATGGATCCAATGTGCACTTACACCCCTTGGTTCTCACGCTCCAGTTTAGCACTGTACGTCTTATACTGCTTATATAAATGTGGGTTCTGGATTCTCAGCAGTTGAACGATTTTCTTTCTTCGCACACCGTCAGAGTCAAAGGCGGCGTTGAACTGCTCGGTCACTTTGTTGAACTCCTGGTCCCCAGCTTTTATATTAACTTGATGCACAGCATGCGGGATATCACTGTCACGTGGTTGAGGTGACCAATGAGAAGGTAAGGAAGGATCTGCAACCGAAAGCAATGCACAAAATGCCTGAATATAATTTTTTGCACAAATTAATGATAAAACGGGGTATACCAAACCTTGACAATTTTTGTTTTCAAATGCACAGTTAACAGGCAAATACAGTTGAAAAAGAAACGCCTTAGGTAAAGAGCTCCATGGCGTGGTACCATTTACAGAATTCATTAAAAAATGATGATCCTACCTTTGACTTCTCGTATAACCTGGGTAACAATGCCTTTACTGCAATCCGTCTCTGTCATAGTGCTAAAATCCAACTTACAAGGACTGCCTTCTATCTCGTACACCACTGCCCCTTCCCTTGCTCTGTGAGCCAATTCCACGCGATAGTTTGTCATTTTATCAAAAGGCTCCCTACTCTGATCTTTAGCAGCTATCCAACACCTACAAAAAATAAATAAATCCAATTGTTTTTCACAATGACAGTTATTGTGTATGCCTCTGTTTGAAGTGTAGGGTAATGTAAGGACAGGGTAAGACAAATATTCCCTAATTGCTATCCTAACATGTATGTTTTGGATAATAAACAAATGCCAGTGTTCACTGACTAAATGCCTTTGTATTTTTGCAAATGTCATTTTTACCGATGACGTCATGTTTGCGATTTTGGGGTAAATTTGCAAAATCGGTTTTTCATATACCCTTAACCTGAGCACCCACGGACACCGTTTCGATCTCCAATTTCATGACATCATAAGCACTTTGAAGCCCTCCCTGTGATTTATCTTAAAAGCCTTACGTCAGATATAATATCGTTGATAAGGCAAAGTATGTCCTTTGTTCAACGATGCATTGGGGGCAAATAATTCCATGACAAAACAAATTATGACGAAACTTTGTAAAATAAATTAAAGGTCGAATAAAAGTACAAATAGAGATAGGAACACTGCACCTGATTTATTTAAGAATGAAATAGTAATTTTGTGAACCGGGTATTCAGTGGATCAACTGTTGTACATTTTTCGTGGAGTGAAAAAAATTGATCCAGAAATGAATATACCAGTCTTCTGTTGTGAAACACAGTGAATGTGGGAACACGCCTGAAAAGCGAAGAGTAAATAAAAAAGAACATGGAGATATATACTTACCACTGAATTTTCTGCTGGAGTGCTGCAGCTTTTTCCTCCTCTGCTCTGTCTTCTATCTTCCTATGGATTATTTTGTAGATAGTGCTGACAGTCGGAGAAACATCCACAGGACATCCCACAATCGATATTGTTGACGTATTTGTATCTGTAATAATGTTAAATAATTTATAAGAATTAAAACTAAAAAATATATTAACCTGGGTACAGTAATTGTTTTGCTTCCGAGCTTGGGTCTTAAATAAGTGCAGTATTCTGTAGTGTACAGTAAACATGTACAAATGAATTATGTAGCTTCGTAATTACCACACTGGGGTATATTTTAATGAAAACAAAATTTAAAATGTCATTTGCAAAGGAATAGGCTTTAACAACCCTATGCCTTACCTATGGTGGCTGTTACTCCTCGTTCGACCTCAAGGTCTCGTATTTCTGCTATGTCAGCTTGTGTTAGTGTATGTCCCTTCAACTCAATGATTTCCTGTTTACAATAATTACAATAAATAATCACATATTTATATTATTGGTATTTGTTTTACATGCATTTAAAGGCCTATTCTCGTCGCTTTGCAAATTATTCAGTGGCTATATCGAAATACTCAGGGGTACTTGTTATCTGTAAGAATCCTAAACGAACAGAATTCTGAAACCCGAACCAAGTAAAACACTAAAACCTGAGTACCTTTTGGATGTTCTGTTTAATAAAAGCTGCAATGTCCTCGTCTGTTTCGGCAACTTTATCGCTGGCTCCATATACATCAAGTACCACTCTTTGTAAAGCTGTAAGGCTTTGGCGTTGGCGCATGGATTGGCGACGACCTACATGTACAATTGATCAATGGAATGCAAAAACAAATGCAGTTAAGGTATATCAAGATTTTATAATACCAACTAACAGTGGATAAGAAATGACAAGTAAAACATCATCATCACACAACGTGTTCATAAATGAAGCTCCAGTAAAAATCATTTGCTGCTCAGATGGTTCTTATATCCTACTATATTTTATAGGGGAAAACCTGTTGAATTCATTCTGTCAATGGTAGGCCTGTCCGATACCGCTACAAATAAACCAAACATACATGAATAAATTTTGGGATAATAAAGTTAAAGTACAAGTTTGTGACAAAAACTTTAAGCCTTACTGGGTTTTTGAGTCACCGGGATTTACAAAACAACTGAATCAAAGCATTTAATGGTGTTTTCAGAATGTACCAGTACAGAAAAATACCTTTTCTTGTTCCTCTTGTAACTGTACTCTGAGCTCTTGCTTCGTCTATAAAAATCGGAATTTGCCCCTGGTCGTAAACCGTAACACAAATCATCTTCAAACTTTCAATATTATTTTCCTGGAGGGTCTGAAATATACCACTCAGTGTTTCTTTGGCACAAGTCGCTGGATCCAAGTTAGCTTTACCTGGAAAATGAATTCGGATAAACCATAAATTGCACATTCACAACCACATGAAAAATGTAAAAAAATCCAAATCCAAATGTAGTGATGCATAAACTGGTGCATGAATATACACGATATGCTACCTTTAAATGATACATTTACATATCGGCTGTATTGGGATAAATATTTGTTCACTTGGTGTCATCTTTGCGAACGGGCAAAGTGTTTGAACATACCTGTTCCTATGGCAGGAAAAGCAATTGAAGAAAATCCGAATTTCTCAGCCAGAAGTAAGCACTGCTGAATGCTTCGATGAATCTGATTGGCTGAAGGAATAACCACGTGGTAAATTCTCTTAAAAGGAAGTTTGCCGGGTGCTACAATAAAAGACAAATTTTCATTTTTTTACTTCTATTGCAGATTATTTCAATAGTTTGGAACGAAAAAGTAGCTGTATGTGGTAGACCTTATCCGTCCGCTTATGTGATCAAGATAAATTAAAATTATTCAGGCAGACACTTAAAAAGAAAAATGCATTTACTTGTATCTAGAACCGCCCCGCTCTGTGCATGTCTCTTTTTAGTTTGTAGTTCTTTCTTGATATCGTTACCTCCAGCTTTTACTAAATGCTTGCCAAGCACCCCCATATCTGCATGCAAAAAAAAAATATATAAAGCTCATAAAGTTATGACAATACAACTCAAGCATTGTACAATAGCCATTTGTAATGACATCTTGATAAAAACAAGTTAGACAGTTTATGAAGCCTTATTCCGTGAACGTTATTGGTTTTAATGTACGCACACCACAACGATTATGGGAAAATGATTGTAATATCCGAGAAAATTAAAAAAAAAAAATGAAATTATATTATGTTCCATAAAAAAGACTTCATTCTGTGGCTTTTATGTCATATATCCTCTACCCCATCCATTCTATGAGATTCCTGGTAAACGAGTGATACTTACTGAGTTGTGGGTCAACAGTATTCACAATAATATCAACAGTATCTTCCATAACATTGCCCTGCTTGACTTGCACAGTTACTGCATTACAAGACAGCTCCATAAAGTTAGGCTTTTCCAATTGCATTATAATGCCTACAATTTATAAGAAAAGTGATCAAATTGGGCAAATTTCCTAATCTGATTAAAATAATTATCTTGACGTCGTTCCTATAAACTGAAAATATTTTGTTTCTTTTACATGATTTTCTATTACATTCATGAAAATTAAAGGGATAACAACTCTTCGTTTGAGATCTATTTTTCACAATAAATACATTGTAAACAAAACACAGAAATATAATATATTCCATTTTACCACAAAAAACACAGTTATAGCAGTTAATCTGAAATCTGTGGTTGCCATCCGACCACGTGAACTCCATAGATGGCAATACTCTGCATCAATCTCTTAAGAGATTATTACAAAAACATAAAACAAAAAAAATCTTTTTTAGAAAAAACAGTGACTAATTTTAAATGTAGAAATGGATTCATTAACCACTGGCAAGTACCCAAGGAAAATTCATTTTCTGGCCAAAATCAACAGTTGTTATCCCTTTAATACGATTTACATTTACCAAGAAAATGAAAATATGATGCAGCCTATAAAATATGAAATAAGAGATAATTGAAATAAACAGAAATAAACATACCTTTGATCCTTAATCAACAATATATCTTTAACTAATATACACACCCTAACACCCGTAAATCACGACGAAAAAGTGATATGTGTACACTGTATTTGCAATGTACAACTTCTGTTTGATTAGCAAACACTAGGCGTTCTTTCAGATTGTTTTCAGATTGTTGATATCGAGTAGTGACAAATTTCTCTTCAGAAAAACGCTGATGAATTATATTTAATGATGAATATCTTTAACTTAATGTATTGAAAATCAGTATAATATATACCTTTTCGACGACGAAAATGCACAGTTTTGGGCCGTCCCTGTACTTCGAACAATTTCATCTTAAAAGCAGTGATAATTTGTGTATCTTGAGGATAAAGAACAAATCGAATCTCCTGTGAGGCACAAAATAAAAATAAAATAAAAAATGCGATGAAATTAATAAGACCTTTAAAGCAAAATGGTTACGAGTACAACAGTGTGTGTCCGTCTTTACATGCCAGAAAAAGGGACTCACTGCTAAAATATAATTGAATAAGAAATAAAATTCATTGAGTAAGAAATAAGTGCATTATTTCCAAACAGACTGCTTGCCTTGACTTTGGTCTGCGAGTTCTTTGCACTGAATTGCAAGGCCTCCTTAAACATGACGTCAGCCACAACATCTTTGGGAAATTTCAGGTTCCCGGTTCCAAGAGCAGGAAATGCTATAGATGATACTCCATCCTGGTGTGCTTGTTCTAAACACTGTGACATTAACCTGGACAGCGTCTGGAATAAAATACTGCAATAAGTGAAGGCTTAAACCCCAACAACTATCTTTTGGCCTCGAAAGAGCTTGGAAACTCTTGCATTCACATCGTATTGAGGTCGTTTTGTCATGTGTTCTTACATTGCACACAAGTTCGACAAGGCTACAGACATGATACATGTATCAAAGATCTAGAGAAAGCAAGAATTAAATCATATTGGAATTAAATACAGTTTTGATAAAATAGAGAGACAAAAATAAAAAGAAATAATGGAGGAAATTAGACCAAGCAAACCTGTTCTTTTGCAGGTCCCCAATCCGGACAGACAACATGGTAGATTTTTTGGCATTGGAGATTGAAACCATCCGTCTTCTTCATTTCCCCAGTTGACATTTCCCCTATTTTTGTGCATTCCTTGTAGGGAATTGAAGCTGGTTATCATGTATTACATGTGGAATTCATTGTTATTCGTCATAATAGTACCTAGCTGATTTTTTTTTCTTATGCTTCTAACTTAGCGCTCTCTATTACCTATCGCTGGATAGTCCCAGGATAAGTTCTTGCAAGAAGAAATAATTTTTAAAAGCGACTTTACAACTAAAATATGTAATTTTGTCAAATCACCCAAAATGGGTTTTTACAAACCCCATTGCAAAACATAACACACTGTACCTGCTGCAGTTGCGGGCCAGCTACTTCAGCAATGGCAGCAGAGACTTTCCCGGCACGAAGATCCATATCGAACTTGATGCTATTAACTATAACATCAGCCTTGTTTGTGAAGAGAAGCAGTACATATAGTGACCAAAAATAAAAGCTTTATGGATATGAAAGATGATACTTTGACTAACAGCTTTTCATTGGGTTATTTGAGGTATTTGTTGGGATAGATTAGCTAAAAATTAGAATTAGCTATAGTTTGCTAGGCTTGCTATGTTCCAAATTCACTCACCGTTTCTTGTTCGATATTCCCTTCTACCAAAGTTATGCTTGTGCCTTTGGGTGTGGTAAAGCTTCCAGCTGGCGTTTGACTCGCCGTTATTGACTGTAAAATATCACATTAAATGTGTTTAGCAGAAGTGCCATATCAATGTTTAAAGACAAACGTATTTTACAACCTCACTTTAAAAAAGCTCCTTTTTTCTGTAAAGTTTCATGGGCAGTCCTTGTCAAAAGATAGTAAGATCTTTGCTGCTTATGACGCTGACAAAGGTATGAAAACATATTACCCTTTTATGATTTCTGAACAATCTACACAAACATTTACCGTTGTCATAGTTGAGGCTGAAAGTCTTGCAGCCGCTCTGATATCTATATACACACTGTTCTTTTGCTCAAGGTCTTTCAGGAAGAGGCGTCCCGGACCACTTTGCATGCTCGTAACCATTCCTGGAAATTATGTTATGCCACAAAAAAATACTTCATAAAACTCCAAACACCCATATCGGATGTAACCAATAACATAAAACATACGATTTACTCAGTTTCTCCTGCGTGAAAGTTATCTGATTCTAAAGCATTCTATGTGACAAAGATATTCTTTCTTTTTATAATTCACCTACCTGGCTGTTTGATGACGACCTGCTTCTTTTTAATGCTGTCAACGACTGTCGACAGTGATGACTCAACTTCATGGATCTACGACAAAAGATAAGATGAAGACGATTGTTAAAGTGTATTTGTTAAATATTTCATTTCGAATAGATCCAATGTTAATTCCAATTCCTTCTAAGGTAAGGAGCCAAATCAGTCTGAAGCAAACATATAGAAGTACATAAATGCAGTTATATGAATCGGAGTTATTACGAGGAACATGTAACCATTTCATCAATTGAGTATTAGTGTTTAAATTAACATTATTCAGTAATTTCCTCCCGTGGGTACTTACTATATTAGTTGGGCCCTGGATGATCAGCTCCCCGTTGTTTTTAATCATGACTTGCACTCCTTTCGACTTCTCCAAGTTCTTAATCTCGGGTACTGTTGAATATGAAAGACACCTTAAACGCTGAGGCATAACGAATTGTGTGACAGAAATATTCAAACCAGGTATAAATCAGGCAATTACCCAGATGCTTATACTTCATAAATCAGTTGGGAATACTTCACCTTTAAATTTGATTAAATATTCCGCCTGACCAGGGAGAATCGACATAGTCTCGCTCGCGACTGATTTCTGTCCCAAATGATACCCTATTTGTCTCGAAGCCTCTTGAACATCATCACAAAAACCATACAGAACTACGGTGTTCGTTTCTTCTTCTGCTGCCTCCACCAAAACCTACAATGCATTAGGGATGTTGAAATTCTTTTGCAAATAATGATATCATCAATTTGTAATTTTTGTTCCATGTTAAGTGACAGATGAATGACCTCACCTTTGTACAGTCCTTCTGCAATAAATGTGAAGCAATAGACTTTCGGTATATTTATCGACAGGTTTCGTTGAATATACATAGGAGAACCAATATACATTGTCATTTCCCTATCATTTTTCCAAACATTATAAAGTCTGATACAGATATATAATTATATCTCGCTTCAAGTTCAATCAACATTTAATATACTTACGCACAAATCTTTGGCCAGTTTTTTCTCTAGGGCCTCCCAAGTATCGGTTTGCAAATATGAAAGCTTGGTTTTTGGCACGGGGATGCTTTGCGTGGTCAGACTGGCTTGAACATGCTCTGCTGCTTTTTCCGTTGCATCAGCATCAAGTGAATAAAAAACCATTGTGCATTCAGAACCTTTTACCGTGACTTCATGAACGACGTCCAAACCTTCCTTTCTTAATATGCATCGGACTTTCTCCCCGCCGTCACTTGACGCCAAAATCTTGGCAAAATGTTTCTCTGTGACATGGATGCTTTTTTCATTAATGGAAGTAAGAACATCTAGGAAATTACTCACAGCTCTCTCTACCGGAGTGACCTTTCCTTTGAACTCAATCTCCCCTTCATGTGATCGAATCATGACGGACACTCCAGATGGCACACCAGCAACACCTTTACTTATGATGAGGACTAATTTGGCCTTGTTTTTATCAGTCAATACTTTGACTATTTCTTTTTCTTCTTCTTTGGATTTTTTCTTTTCTTCTCTCTGAATTCGAGCGAAGTCTTTGAGGACTTTTTGGCATTCATCCTCAACACCAGTTACTCGGACAGTGTAAGACTCAGGGGAGGCCTGAATATCTATGGACTTTAGGCACATGGTGTGCACTTCACACTCCTCTTCAATCCGAGACCAAACGTCATCGGAAAATTGGACCGATTTAGTCATGAAGCCGTCAAGAAACTCTTGGACCACTTCCGTGCATTCTTTCTCCCACTTCTCTTTATTGTTAATCCGTTCAGTGTTGTCTGCCATGACGCGTATTTGGTTGTTGGTGACATCTGTCCATAATCGAGGAAGTGACCCAAGAATCGGCCTAAGTTTACCAGCCAAACATTTTTTGGGGGCATCATGTTTCCTTAAGAAGGATACAATGTGAGAGTCACAAGGGAATTCCATCAACCAGGAATTACCGTAATCTTCTTCGTCGTCAACTTCGTCATCTTCTTCATATCCGATTTCACGGTAATAAACACTGACATGCAAGCGGAGACCGTCGAGGGTGTGCGAAATCTCAGAGACTCTTTTCGCATCTACAGTAAAGGAAAACATCGGCATGTGCGTGAACATTTAGAAAAACTTAATTGTCAAATTAAGCTGCTGCTGAAATAGAGGTGAATGACATTTTGAAAAACACATTCATGAATTAAATATATGTGTTCAAGAACATGGGTAATAGCTCTCAGGAGAAAAAAATCACAATTTTCAGTAGTGAGCATTATTTTTTATTCCCTTAATTAAACATGTATTCAGTTTTTTTTTTTTTTTTCAAGCTGATCACGAATCATGTATTATCTATAGGATGCTATTCAGTATATACTACATTGTAGTAACAAATGTAGTCAGCAGCTACATATGTTGGGTTATTTTATGGATCATGAAAATGAATTATCCGAGTAAGAACAGCTGTACAAATATTTGTGTGTGTGTGTGTGTGTGTGTGTGTTAATTCTCTCTTACCGTCTGCATTTTCAAAGGTAACAACAGCAGCTTTTCTATTTTCCAGTATTACAACGTCTTTGACCGGTCCACCCTTGCTCTCTTCGCTTTCGAAATAATATTCCAATTTCTTCTTAAAAAATTGTTCATCTTTGATCCCTGTAAGCACAAATTACAATGATAATTAATTAGCATATTGTAGATTAAGCAATGTGGAGATAAAAATATTTTTTAACAATGAAGAACCCCATTAGTAGAACAAACAGTCAACAGTAATAGAATTACTGGGTTAACTGTATACTTTCAGGGGAAGACGGGGTAGGCCCGCCCAGTTTTTTATAAACATTGAGAGAGAAGAAATAACTTCGCTCCTTCAAATTTCACAAGTAAGTTCATGTTTGTACCTTAATTGCGGTACATGTTTAAGTATCAGAGCATGCCAGTGATGAATTTAGAGGGGGCAGGGGGGTCCTGACCCACCCTCCCCCTTCGATTTCTGGTCCCCTTGAAATTAGAATTTTGACTAGCAGAATCATAGTTCCTAACGGTACCAAATGACACTATTCGCCCTCTAAAATACCAAAAATTTTCGGGACCCGCTCCACGCCAATTGGGGACCCTGGATCCGCCCCTGCAAAATAATGGGGGTGTGCAGACTTGGCCAGGGGGCAGACTAGCCCCGCCTTGTCCTACCTTTGACAAGAACAGCAGATGGTTTCTGGACTTGCTCCACTGTAAGAAACGTTCCAAGAAAACTTTCTTTCGAAACATTCTGTGTTATAGATGTGAAAACAGCACCTGTAGAAGTAAAGCATAACAGTTTACTAATGTTTGACTTTATTAACTAGATGACGAATTTTGATTCCATTTTTGCAATAACAGTATGCTTTTAATTTAATTTTTCAGCAGTCATAATTAATGACTTTTCGACCATCAAAGTAATAAAGAAGAAAGTACAATAACATCACCACAGATAAGGATGTAACATGCCTTTGAAACATAAACACAATCTACTTGAAACAGAGAGAGAATTCCACTTCATACTTTATATTGGAATATAACATTTGACTCATCTCATGAATCCTTAAAATAAATTCTGTACATGGATAAAAAGTACACGGAAAAATAAAAACGAAGAAAATAATGTTACCGCTTATTTTTCTGTCAAAAGTAAGCACTGAAGAAGTGTGATCAATGCCAGTGTGAGCTCCAACAACGGCCAAATCAGTGCCAGCCAGTTTCTCCAGGAAATGTGACACCTTTTCTCGGCTGGTACCAACTGGAATGCCCTAAATGTTATATGTTAGAATTTCCCTGTGTATCGAATTTTATTTGGGGCATGATGCATACTCTCTTTTATAAATACTTTTTCCAGTAAGTTTCTACTTTCACAATTCTAGAATCATATAATCCCTTAATGCCGTCTTTGAAAACAAACCATAAACAGGCACTATCTTTGTCCCCCTTTTCCTCCCCTTTTCAACCTTGTTGCATTAACATCAATAAGCATACAAAAATGCCGACACTTGTTGAATAGCTGTCTTAACTACCTTCACAAGAACACTCGTGTCGTCTACAGAATCCACGCTGTCCTTTAGAACGCCAATGTTGCAGCGACTTTCCCGCAAAACGTCTTCCCTCTCTGCAATAAATACAAGACTTGATCATTTTAAGATATTAGTTTTGTAATTCAATATCATTCTTGCGCACGACTCGCCATAACTAATGCTAATTACTGATGACAACCACAGGTGTATTTGTTACAATGTCGAAAGGCTAGATTACATATGTCATGGGCTCCGCAAAAGGAAATCGTTTAGAATTTTTCGTACGATCATTTATTTAATTTTTTAATTTTATTTTATTTCATTTTTATTTATTTATTTATTTATTTATTTATTTATTTATTATTATTATTATTATTTTTTTTTTTTGGCATCGTACCAAGACCCCATCCCCATACCTACATGTACATATCGATCTAGCAGGATCGGCCCATCTCCAAGGGATTTCTCGCTCTGGCACGCCTACTGAAGCTGTATGAGGGTAATTAACTATCGTTTGGCAGCTTCAGTAGGCGTGCCAGGCATCTAAGCCGCTTAATCTGGATGCATTTTAGCGAGAATCATCGAATAGCAAATGTAATCTAGGCTCAACTCTAAGATGGTACGGCACAACCAGTTAAGCGATTTCTCAGTAAATAAAGAAAAATGATAATACAAATAAATCCAAAATTGCTATAATGTACCAGATTCACTTTTAAACGTCACGTAAACAGCGTTCCGCTTCTTGGAGTTATTGATGGCTGATATTACTGGGTCGGAAATAGCATGGCGGCTAAAATACAGCTGGTCGATCATCTCTTCGTCTGTCCTTGGTCGGGATCCCTTGGCTTCAATTACGCTTTTAGATGTACCAGAGTTGGATTGCGGACAGTTTAGGCTATTAAGCTGTGCCATCACTGAAACAAAAACGGCCCAAAATGTGAGCGTGTATTGTCATTTATGAGAGTGACAACGACAACTTTGTACATGTACTTCCCAATTATAAGTAAATGATCTACAATTAAATTTAATGTTTTCGTGTAGCCTTTTCCTTGTTTGTTACAAAAGTTGCATTACACTTTCAATAGTTTGGCAAAGGACATGCCATATACACAGAGAAAGCTTTTTTATACCTCTTAAGTATTCATCAGTACCATATTGCTCTTGAACTACCACAGCTAACGGTGGATATTTTTCAAGTTTAATCTGGGCAAGGTGAATTCTCCAGCTTCAAAACACATCATTTGTTATACCGATTATGCAAACTTTGAATTCCAGCCACCCGCTTCTTACCTGTTGACTTCCGTTGAGGTCAGAGGTAAAACAAATACCAACAGTATTCTATAGGAACTCACAGCTAATGGCGTCGCACTTTCGGTTTGAAGCAGATCGACCGACGCCTTGTTTGCTGCGCGACCCATTTCTTTTGTCTGCTGCTTGGGCATCTCTGCTGAACTTATTTGTTAAACATATTACAGTTTACCTGTACATTATTGATTCAGAATAAAAAAGCTTTGTGTTCGAGTGGTTAGGGGCCTATCAAGGTCAGCCACATAGACAGAGTGGCACAGTAGGTTTTTGGGCGTGCGTGACAGGAATGGAAGTCATAGTGAATGGAAATCCGGGCTCCCATATGATTAATACAGGTTTGGTTAGACGGAGTATTGGGATCAGTATATGGGCCGAATGTCACATGCACAAAGTAATAGGGAATGGACTACGGTTCCTAACAGACTACTATTCTTGTCATACCAGTACATTTAATTTTTGACTCCACTCTCGCTCTTAGTTTAAAAAGATTTCGAAGTAGTGTGTACACATTTACTTCGAGTTTTTTTTTTTTTTTTTTTTTTTTTTTTTGCCAGTTAATGCAAAGGATTTCATCTCCATCTCCTCGGTTAACGTAATACACCAGTAAGGACGATGCATATGTAGAAAAATCGTTCTTTTCACAGTCGGGAGACCTGCGACAGCGGGGGAGGGAGGGGGTGGTTGTAGGGAACGACATTCGTCATCAGACACTTAAGCCCCACGGGAGGTCCACAGAAGTGAATACAATCTTGCCCAAAATGGTTGGTACACGGACATTGTGGGATGCATATCGCCCTGTTTCTTTCATTATTATTGATATTACCAAATTAATACTGTTTATATTGTTATATATGTGAAGCTGGAGGATTGGTAAAGTCAAGGAGAAAAAACCAATGCAAATGTGAAAAAAAGCGTTAATTTATTTAGGTTTTTTTTTTCTCATGTCCCCCAAAAGAGTACTTTTTTTTACATAACAGTACCAAGTGAAAAATTAAGCAAAAATATATACTGTGATTGACAATTAATATGAAATTAGGGGAAATTGTCAAGAAACATCTTCAGAGTTCATTATTAATCTAAATAGCGGGTATGCCCACCCTGAGCTTGGATAATGACCGCCAGACGGCGTGGCATACTGTGAACTAGAGTTACAGCTCTTTGAAGAGGAATTCTGGTCCATTCATATTGAAGGGCATCTCGCAGTTCATCTAGATTTGCAGGGGGATGATTTCTCCTCTGAATAGCACGACCCAGTTCGTCCCACATGTGCTCAATTGGGTTTGCATCTGGGCTTCTTGCTGGCTGTGGCATCAGCTGAATGTTGTTTTGTCGGATAAAGGATTGTGTCGTGAATTGGTCAGAGACATATCTGTGAATATCTAGAGAAAAATCAATATTTTGCCCTGGTTGAGGGGTACATGGGGATGCCTTGCAGGTTAAGGCCCCTTTTTTAAAAACACGAGACGAATCGATGCGACAGGAGGTACAGCCTACTACCACAATCTAAGGCCCTATACACATTACATTCCCACATCGTTTTTTTCTCCTTTTCGCTTTTTCTGTAAATTAGGCATATTTAGCCACGTACAACGTTATTCAAATTGTGTGCAAGTTCCCTAGTATCAGTATCATTATTAAGATATACTTGCATTTAATGAGGGCAATTTTGAAGGGATATTATCATATTTTTAAACAACAGTTCGTTTTGATTAAAATGGGTTTTCCTGGGGTAAACGAGTTTTCTCATGCTAAGCAATAGTTAAATGTTAGATAGGAAGATGTTATATTAGTAACTAGTATCCATAACACTCAGACTTTTCACAAGTATAGTAATCATGATATAATACAGCTTGACATAATTATACATTTTACATGTATAAAGTATGTTTTATTAAACCATGTTTTTATGTTCAAATTATTTTAAATAAGGCTACAATAATCAAACTGTATGTTCATTTTGTTTTATTTCATTGTCTTCCTTATAATGACCTCACTAACACACATACACACACACACGTGTGTGTGTGTGTGTGTGTGTGTGTGTGTGTGTGTGTGTGTGAATCTTATCTTAATTCATGGGTATCTCTTAGTCATAAATAACTTCATCATAACAATCCTGCATAATTAACATATACTGAATGGCATATAACATGCGGAAACTAAATAAAAACAAACAGCCTTCATGCTCATTTTACAAGCTATTAATAACAACAGTAGACAGAAACAAGGCAGCAAAGCTGTCAAATGTACAGACAAAAACCAGAAAATAAAAACGCAGGAAATAGGATACTGTCAATTCTGATGAACNAGTATCACAAGCAAGTTTGACACTTGTAAGTCATTAAAAATTAAATATGAATTGTTTTTCTGTAAAAAAAAAATTACATTATTATATTATACAAGAACCATGTTTAATGGTATAATGCATTCATCAATTTTCTCAAACCCCCTCAAAGCAGATTTTTCAGTCAGATGAAATAATGTTCATCATAAAATTCTTAATAAAGCCAGTACAACTAATTGAATACAATTTCCCCTGTGCACACCAAAGGTAATTTGATAGTTTATTCAAGAAAAAATACCCAACAAGGGTTATGCAACCCTATTCATTTGAAATCCTCCAACAGGTTCTTAACAACTACCATGCACATGTGTAATTATAGAGTTTTGATTAACACATATGTATGATATTACATGTTATAGCTGTGATTCCTGTCCTCTCCCTTGACATCACATATCACTGGATAAAATTATGTTATTTAATGTCATAGCTGTGAGGTGTCTCTGTGACTTTTGTTCTCTTCCCAAACACCACAGATCATTTGCTAAAACTATCATAATGTTAAGATTTATAATTACAGACTCAATTCTCTTTTCAAGAGACACTGAAGTATATGTACTGCATCAACCTTCCAAGTTCAACTCCTCTAGTAAACCATCAATCAGAATCAGCTTGGCATTTGCGTCTTCCACTTCACTGAAGGTCTGAACAAAGTTTGTGATGTGGAATCTGACGTCATCTATCACTGGGATTGTGTCTGTCTCGTGGCGCTCTTTCACGCCCTGGGCATCTTCTGCCACTAGCGAGATGAAGTCTTCTGATTTGACCATCTGGAAAAAATAACACAAATAGAGAATGGGGTTTCAATCTAAGGTGGGTTTCAATTCAATTCTTTACAATTGTCTCAATACTGGTACAGAGGATTAAAATTGTCTTAGCGAGAAGTGAAATGAGGTGTCAAACTAAGAGAGCATTCACATCGAGAAGAGCCGAGGTCTAGTAAGGCCGAGACCTAAATATGGTGGACCTACATGAAAGGAAGACCATGTAGTCCTTAAATGGTCTCTGGATATGAATGCTCTCTAAGGCGAATATCAAGAACATTATGCATGAAGACAAATCACACAGAACCAGGCTTTTTTAATTGATATCTGCATATTGTACAAGTCGGATACACCCCTTATAAGTAAGGTGTATATAACAACCACTCCTGTTCTGTACTCATGTACTAGTATATCACATGCACTGCCCTGACTTGCTGTGTGTCTATTACAACCAAGACAAGCACATTGTGAAAAAAGAACGAAGTTAGCAGAGATGAGAAAATCACTTCACCATGTTTGGTGATTAGCCATTGTATTCTATCTTAGTGTCACTGGTACAGATGTATATTTACCAATGGCAAGTGAGTCCATAAAATATTGGTATGTAAGACTGCATTCCCACAGATTTAGATCGATCCATCTGGGGATAGATCACCCACGGGGATAGATCGATCTAAAATCTGTGGGAATGCAGTCTAACATTCTGTTTTACCTTGTCGATATTATTAGCAATGTGCTCCGTACACTGATCCTCAAGTCTTGGCAAGTTAAACAGCCGTGCCGTCCTCAATACACTGATGACATTGTCACAACTCAGACAGTTCCCTATGACATTGGAGCACTGCCTCTTCAGGCCAGGAAGCAGGTACATGTCAGCTGTCCACAGGATGTCAAACACATTGCCGTCATTTAGCTGCAAAATGACAAAGACATTGTTGTCATTTAGCTGTCGTGTCAAACACATTGTTGTCATTTA